GAACCCCGCACCCCAACCCCAGCATCCTCCGGGCACCTGCTCGGCTCTCCGGATGGTCCCTATTGCTGGAGGCAGTCTGTGCCCCCCCCCGTGGCGTTTCACTACACACACACACACACACACACACACACACACACACCCGCCCTCCGTCCTCAGGTCCAGCCCAGCTTGCAGGTGGGCGGGAGCGGTTTTTAGCTCCTCGCAGCCTTAGAAAGCTGCGGGTCGCCGGGCTGCGCAGGCGCAGGAAGCCGCGGATCCACTGTCCGGCGTGGGTCACTGAGGGTCGTTTTGGAGGCCGAGAGAATCAGCAGCTCACCCCCCCCGCACCTCCCCACCTTCGAGGCAGGAAGCTGGGGGGGTCTTCTGCTTGTGTCGTTGGTTTTGCCCTTCTAAGGGGTCTGTGTTGGAGCGAGCCTGGTCCCCAAATCCGCCTCGGAGGGGGAAGATGAGCAAATGTTTCGCCCCCCCTCCCGCCCCCCCTCCCCCAGGTCTGGCTGGGGTCTAGCTCTTCTGGGCCTCCTGGGAGATCAGCCCCGTGCTAGGAGCCCGGGAGTTTAGATTAGGCCAAGTATAGACCCACACTTGTAGCTTGGAAGAAGAGGACCCGAACCCTGACCTGCAGGCCTGGCCCATCTCTGGCCTTTCCTAACCCATCATCCCCAAGGTTGGAGACCGGAGGAAATTGGTCCGTGGGTGCAAAGTAGCTAAAAACGAAGGACAGAAGGCAAAGACGGTTGCCGAGCTGATTCGCATCCTCCCGAGGCCGGGCAGGAGAATGGGTGCTGAGAAACCCGCTCAGACGCACCCGGGCCCCGCAGCGGCGCCGGGTGGGTCCGCGCCTTCGGGTCCAGGGAAGGGGGCGGAGTCCGCCGGGGCTGTGTCCCCGCCCCCCGGCCGGCACCGACTCCTATTGGCTCAGAGCCACGCGGGACTCCCGTCTCTCGCTCCAAGACCACGCCCCCAGCCCAGTTTCCTCCCAATTCACCACCCAGCCAGCCTGGGGGCCCGGGGAGCCCCCACCAGAGAGCCTGCCCCCCACCTCTTCCCTTCTGACGGAGTTAACCCCTTCGGTGCCAGGGCACCCCGGCACAGACTCCCCTGAGGGGGTCGTCCCTGTACAGCGGAGGGCCAGAGGGTCCCCTGTGTGCATCTGGGACAATGTCCTGTCCGCTGCCAAGCCCTCTCGCCCTCGGTGATTCAGCCCTAGGAGAAGCAGCAGCAGCTGCAGCTCTGGACAGAGCTTCTGTCTGCATCGATCCAAACTCCTGCAGTTGTAGTTTATGGCTTTCTTCGACTGTACAGTGTTTGAGGGCGCTAGCAGATGAGGCTCCAGACTTCTTGGGGTGATAAAAAGAAAAAGCTCCTGCCTGTAAATGAAAGCTCCTGCCTTTTCACCTTCCAAGATCCACTTGCAAGGGTCTGGAGCCCTGGGCTCCGTGGCCAGAAAATCCAGGTCTTGATTTCGCCTGGACCATTGCGGGACTAGGAGCTCAGGATCCAGGCAGGGATTCATTCACTCCAGTTCTGCAAAGACAGAAGCAAAACGTGGTCTGGATTGCTGCTCGCCCCTGATTAAGGTGTTTTGTTTTGTTTTGTTTTGCTCTGAAAGACAAAGCTGTCTTTTGACCCTGCGCTTGGATACCTCTCTCCTTTGTAGATGGGCGTGAGAGGACCTTAGGGCTGTTTTGACCCACATTCAGCATGTCTATCCACAGTAACCTCTGTTCTTAGGATCGTAATATTTCTTAAGCGCGTCTTACTGCTAGACACCATGCTTTGACAATGACATTTCAGAAGGTCATTTGCTAAGGTCGTGGGAAGGAAACGGAGCCAAGAGTCAGTGGCTCCCGTCTGTAATCCTGGCTACTCAGGAGGCTGAGATCTGAGGATCAGAGTTTGAAGCAACCTGGGGCAGGAAAGTTTGTGAGACTCTTTTCTCCAATTAACCACAAAAAGGTTGGAAGTGGAACTGTGGCTCAAGGTGGTAGAGCAAGAAAGCTCAGGGGTAGTGCCCAGGCCCTGAGTTCAAGCCCCAGGACTGGTGTGCACACACACGTGAGTGCATGCACACACAGAGGAAAACAGATTTTTTTTTGACACGGTGTCTCTATATCTCTGTATGTAGCTCAGACTGTCTCAAACTCTCAATCCTTGTATTTCTGCCTCCTAAATGCTGGGAATACAACAGAGCACTACCATGCCTGGCTAAAACAGATTTTGAATCCAAGCTTTCTACTTTTAGAGATCTTAGAACCGATTTAGAACATACTTCATTTGCCCCTGATTGGAGGACTTTATGAGACTCTAACTGAAATCTTCCCAACCCTTCCCTTTGCGGCATCTCTGTCCGCACAGCTGTTCTCAGAAAAGTACTGAGACTCTAACTTCTGATCTCTGCAGTGCTTTTTCTGAGTGTCTGGCCAATAGAACAAGATGTTCTTCAAAGATGGGCACATAAACAGCCAGCAGTGATGAGCAGTGCCATTATTCAGAAAAGATCATTTGGCCACCACAGGGCTCCAATTTCAAGCCTGCTTTGAGCCACATCTACCACTCCCAACTGTAAGCCTGCCTGGAGTGGGGCAGGGCTTCTGGGATGTGGAGATGTGCACATCCATTTGTTCCTTCCTTTCTTCATGTGTGAGCCAGCTAAGCCCATTCCTTGCTCAATGCATTTGCCCTCACAGAATGCCCTCTCCTTCTAGAATGTTCTCTCTACAGATCTTCCTAAGGCTGGCTCTTGCCTTTCAGTTATGCTCTGAAAGTATCTCTTTCACTTCTACATTGCTCTTATTACTTAGTGTCTGCTTGTCCCTTCATTCTGGCTGTTTTAAGTTTTGTTTTAACTCCTGTGTGTGTGTGTGTGTGTGTGTGTGTGTGTGCACGCACGTGTGTGTGCACCAGTTTTGGGGTCTTGTGCTCTCCCTTTGCTTCTTCTCTCAAAGCTGGTGCTCTACCACTTGAGCCACACTTCCAGCATTTTTGCTGATTGACTGGAGGTAAGAGTCCATCTGATTTGTCTCCTTGAGCTGGCTTTGAACCTGGATCTTCAGACCTGAGTAGCTAGGATTACAAATATGAGCCAATGGTGCTTGACTGTCTTTCTAGTTCTGAGATAGGGGGTGGTTGTATTGCTTTGTCTCAAACTCAACCTCCTCCTGTTTCGTCCTCCAGCGTGGCTGGCATTGCAGGTGTATATCACCATGCTTGGCTTTGTGTGTCCCTCTCTATGCTGGTCCCCATATGACAGTGTCTTTAGGATCTGGCATTCAATAGTTGTTCAAGAATGTATTCTTCAAATAATGTCTCGGTTTTTTTTTTTACATCAATGGGCCTTGAGGTGCCAAAAGAACAGCCCTTAAAGGGGGCTTCTGTGTACCTGACCCGTGGGGGTCAGGAGAGGAGCATTTTCTCCTCAGGAGCCTCAGCACTCAATGCGTGGGCAAGGGGTGAAGGTAGTGATGACAGTCCTTGGTCGCATCTGCTCCTGTACCTTGTGGACAGTAGCCACAGATGCACACTGACCTCGAGGTTGTGTGTGTGTGTTTGAGCTTTGCCCTTTTGCTTTTCAGAAGGATTTACCCCTGCCCCGGAAAAGCAGCAGGTGAGCCTGGGAAACCGACGCTAGGGGCTGTCTGCCCCTCCTCCAGCGTTGGGGGTGGGGTGGGCGGGGCCCGGCGCGGCGACGCC